TATTTTTATACTCCACATATGGAATATGCCAGAAATGCTGGAGAAGTCTTGAGTATTCTTAACTACCCGTATGAATCAATTGACAAATACCCCATCGACAAAAAACTGACGGATCACTCAAAATGGTAAAGATAGGCTTTGATTTTTTTTATTCACATAGCTATCATCCAGGCATTAATTCCGTAACCATTGCGATACACAATAACATACCCTATACATCAGCCTTTATTTTTCGTTCCGCTCCATAATGCGATAGTGTTGCTTTACGATCAAAATTCATATAAATCCATTTATCACTGTTGACACAGGGGAGAATGCGGGTCGTTGACAGCGTTTGGTTTTCGTGGTGGGTTTTCATCTCTGGATTTTTTTTTTTTCTCTGCATGGTGAATAAATCGAAGTGGAGGGGCGGCAAGAGGGTTGGAGGGATGGAATGGGGTAAAAGTGATGGGACCACATGGCAGAGAATTTTCGTGCATTCACCGCATATTTTTCACCGTACAATAAATTGGCCCGGATATTCCGTGTGTGCCGACAGAAACGGAGACCAGGTTCTGCCACCCCATGGCCATTTTACAATGGTGAATGAGTGAGATAGGGTATGCAGAGTGAGTAAGGTGAATTTACAATTATCACTAACCCATACTCGGTGAAATATCATCCGTTATTTTTTCTAGCGTCAATATTTCTCTGGATCATTGGTACATTTATCTTGAATTCACCTGTGTGCGGTATTAGGTTTTACAGATTCATCGCAACTTTCGGAATTGGCGATTATGAAATGTTCCTGGGTTTTATTTATCGGGAGAAATAATTAGAAGGATTAATTGATCAATTTTTAATTAAAAAATAATATTTTTTATTTTATAAATTGTCTTTAGGAGGGCCTTATTTAAAAAAAAGGAAATAATTAAATAAATGTAAAATTGAAAACGAAAAGGATCTGAAATTCTCAAATTTTTATACTTTTTTTAGTTATTTTTAAGAGGGATTTGTTGGAATTGTCGACACATCAAAATCGAAATTATCAGTGACTCTTCCGAAGGTTAATGACTTAGTTATCGTTAGGAGGTCACCACTTGTTTCTCGGTAAAGTGTGAGTTACGATGTTATGACAGTATTTCAAGTGAGTTATCAGTCTGTAGTCAATAAATGCTATGAAAAACACAGCCGTAGCCAGAGGTTTCCGAAACACCTAATACCGTAAAGCGTGTGTACACTTGAGCGGTCCGTCAATTTAACCGCGGGGAATTGGGGTTTCCCAATCGTCAATTGTGTTTTGAAATTCTTCACTTAATCCCAATAATCCACAAATATTTCATAATAGAAAATAAACCTGGAACTACTGCGTAAATTCTTCAATTTTCAAACGTCACTAGATTCCCACTCGTAATCGTTGAAATTGAACTTTTGCACTATCCACAATAATCCACAAATTTTCCCGTCGACCCATTGACTGAAAAATCGAAAAGAAAAATGTATTTTTTGATTTCTCAATCCAATTACGAATGAAAATGCAGTTAGTAATGGTTTGAAATAAATTAAAATGAATTTGATGAATGTTTTGGACATTTACGTCATTAAGCTGTCGGAATACATCAATCTGTTTTATCGCATTGGAGTTGAAAAACAAGAAGAGGTCACTCGTCACTTTGTCAGGAGCGATGGAAGGCCCCGGCTGGCGAGAAAACGTCTGAGGGTTTTCAACTAAAGCTATAAACATTAAGAAAAAGGGGAAAGACGTGTCGGTCATTCGGCGCCACATAAACACATCGGTTCCATCCCCAAGACAGTGCGTCAGGGTCGGATAATTACACAGTGCCGCTCATCTTTCATCAGGCCGTAACTCCCCCACCTCTAACTACCACTAATAACCCCGCTAATGCTTTTACGTGGAAACAGACCACTTCCTCTAAGACATTAAAGCAATCATTATTTTTCAGAGACCAACATCCTTAACATCCTCTGCAATATCAAGGATGTCCGACAGCCTTTTCGCGTCTCATCCGAAATTCAAGTTTTTTAAATTTTCTTTTCTCACGAACTGCTACAAATTTAAATGCAATTGACGTGAAAAAATAGAATGTTTTTGCGTTTTGACATTATCTCATGGCTCACGAGATTTTTGTGCGCTTTTTTCTACAGTCTTGTGATTTTTTTTAAGGTCTGAAAAAACACGGAAAAATGTTTGCTACACTGTGAACTTTGTGAGTCATTAAATGATGATCAAATGCAATCACTTTATCGTTTTTAACGCCAATCTTATTGAGAGAGAAATTTTATGGAATAGAAGGGAGATGCAACACCAGGCGCATAAAACAATTTGTTGTTTCGAATTACGTGAATTGTTCGATAACTTTTACTGATTATTTTTCTCCATTTAAAAACCGAGACAAATGCACCGAATTGAAACAATTCGAAAGCTGACTTCGTAAAATTTGAAATGATATAGAACACGTAATTTATATGTGCGAGGGGGAAGCTTTGAAGACTGGAATTATCGAGTAAGTGGAATGACCAACGATTTTTTTAATAAGAAAGAAAAGGCCAGCTTGTCAGAATCATAAAACACCAGTTCTGCAAACAAAGAACTGCATCAGAGATGAATAAATACAGATGATAAATGAAGAGAGAAGGAAAAAATTGTTAGCGATTCGGCTGAAATATTGCTCGCTATAAATTTGTCGGTGAGTAAGTTGTTTCGGAGTCTCTGTATGTTGTAACACGTGAGGGACTATTTCTCTTTCTCTCTCGGGCATTAGTTTTAGTCGGTTTGTAATGTCGGCAGAACATCAAAGTGCCCAATCGTCTCTGTATCAACGTTGTAAACCCGTAATTATTTTTTTTTTTTACCCCGGTCACCATAAAGCTATAAACGACCGGATGCGAAGAGAACTTGCAAAAATAAGCGCAGGGTGGAAGTGGATCGGGCCAGAGGATTGATTTTTGGGGAATCTCTGGATTTATACCTGCTTTCCGATGCTTTACCGATTTTTATAAGGTGTCGTATACGTTTTCAGTGGTGTAATAAATTGGGAACAAACCTCGGGACCGTGGAAAATTCTTGGGCCTTTTTTTCCTGCAAAATTACGTTCATTACCCAACAGTCCCATTTATGGTAAAGTAGATTTACTCTCATTATATTTATTTAGGTAAAAAAATATTTTTATCTAATTGATTTTTTACTTGATCAGCTCGTGAAATAAAAAAATGTAATTGAAAACATTATTTTTCAATCTTATAAGTGGGTGGGAGAAATACGAAAAAATTCCGCGGCTCTTCTCGTGGAAAGTTTCTTTTTTTAAATTGTGAATTAAATTCGAAACTCTTCGGTAAGAATTTTGGAATTAGAGTGCAAATATTGAAGAAGATTTTGACATAAATTTTGACAGTCCTTGAATATCTTTAGATGTGCTACGAAATGGGCGAAATTTACTCTTCAAATTATTCTCAGGTGTTGACAAATCCCCCGACAGTGTAAAATAGAAAATAGAAATTCTATTTCCTCTCACATTTATCTCATAACCACTCAACTGAGATTTACTTTGCGGTTAGATCCAGAATACTAACTTCCAATAATGAACCCCGAGAGCACATACATGCCTTCACCACCTCTTCACATTTTTCATCTCTAAATGCGCGACAGTGGTAAAATATCGATTACATTAACGTGATGTTTCCACGAATTCCGTGGAATTTTTCAAGTTCTCGACAAGTTGAAAAGAAAAATGGGAACAGAACAGAAAACACGATGAGCTTGCAAACTGTTTAATTTTTAGTGATTAACATAATCATTTCAGTTCTTCCTCATTTAACCAGTAAAAGATTTATTGATATTTATGTATTGTTTCCCATTTGTCTTGATTTCTTCAAAGTTTATAATTTATTAGATCCTCTAATTGATGATCGCACGAAAAATTTCAACAACGGCTCCATATGCCATTGAAATTGCATCAATATGAATGAAATTACCGCGCAAATCACTTATAAAATATATAACTCTTCTCACGAGCCCTCAAAATTGAATTCTCTACCTTCAACCGTTGATACTCCAAACTGACCATGAATACAAAATTGCCCAAGACCTCCAATTTCTTCATTTCCCCCGGCTGAAAATTACATACAATCCCCCATAAAAAAAGTCCCGTTAAAACCTCAATATTTCCCTTTAAAATCCGCCCATAAAAAGGATTGTCCAATTCCCAACAAAATCCTGACGTCCCCCTCGCAAAAAAAAATCCCCCAAATAATTGCGCAACAGTTCGACACGTGAGCCGTGCCAACTACACGCGGTTGCAAAAACAAGGAACCGTCAGGAGAGAGAAAATGGTTAGAAGCCAGTATGACAAATTTGCTCGTAATTTATTGATAGTACGTAGCGATAATGGAGAGAGCAATTATCCGAATGCGAGGTCGGTTTGTGTAACGAGCAGTGGACAAGAAGTGAGTGTGTATATACCTTGAGATTGTACGAGAGGGGGTGAGAGGGAGTTTGTGGGTTAGGTAGAGTGAGGAGGGTGGAGGATAGTGGGAGGGAAGGAGTCTTTGGTGCAAGTTGACACGTCGTTGGCCAGGTCGGTTGCGCTCGGCAAAAGTGTCGGCAGGGCGCGAACCGACAACGACCGCCCGGACACGACCGACACCGTGTCGTGGCCGCTGTAGGGGAAGGAAGTCCAGGGGCAAAGTGGAGTGCCAAACTAAATGTGGGGGGAGGATGATGAGGAGGTGGACGCAGCGGTGGACGAGGTGGAGGACGAGGGGGTGGACGCGGTGGAGGACGAGGTGGAGGACGAAGTGGAGAACGTAGTGGAGGACGTGGTGAAGGAGTTGGAGGAAGAGGAAGAGGAGGAGGAAGAGGGGGAATTGAGTGGGAGGGAGAGGACGAGCAAGAGGGTGAGAAAAAGAGAGAGGGTAATTCTCTAGGGTGTCATTGGTGGGGAGAGCCGATGGTGGTGGTGGCAACGTAATGGTGGGGATGGAGATTCCGTGAACCTTCCGCCACCAAACGGCCAACAGTCGCGACTACAAGCCCGCAACGTTCACGTCGCACCTCGTGTCGCCTTTAGTTTCTTTTTTGTTGGTTCAGTCTCTCGCGAATAGTGAAGGAGTGAATAAATGGTAATTTTCCGTGAACCGTTGAATTAAAATCTGTGATTACTTGTGAGTAGATGATACATTGCTCTGGATTACTTGAACGGATGTGAAGTTAGTCACTGTAGGACCCGGTCGTTGCCGTGAATGGCTTCGACTGTGATTGAAAGAAAAGGGGGATTCACGGATTACTGAGTGCTCATTGAAGTTTCAACGGTGAATTGTGAGCGATTTGATAAGTGGTGAATTGTTGTTTTATTTATTTTTTTTTCTTTGGTAATTATTGGATAATTGATAAACATGCTGACAAGTGCGAATCAGTATCTCCGTCCGGAATATCTGCCGCCTCTGCAAACAACGGTTAGTTGATTATTTTATAATTACTGTGATGTAATTTGTGAATACGTTTTTATTTTATTTTGACATCGATGTGAATGACTTGTCATTGGGTTTAACGCATGGGTATTCGACGATCACCTGCTGTTTTCGTTCTATTCATATCAATTCTGCATAAATAAACACTGATTTAGGGCATGAAAAGGTCTTCACACGCTAGTCGCTTCATTATTCTTTCTCACTTGAACAATTTCACGGGTTATTATTTTGTTAGTTGAATTAGTTGAATATTTAACAGACGTTTCGAGGGAGGAAATTTCAAATTTTCAAATCACGTGCAATGGTGTATTCCCTAAAGTGGAAAAATACCTTGCAAAATCTTTTCACGAAATCGTTGAAATGTCGCGACGCATGTAAATAGTTCTCTCCACATTGGAAATTCCAGGAACGACTGTAGAAGTTTCAAAATTCCACCTCAAACTCTTTTATTCATCTCTTTTCGTGTTTTTGCCCGGGATATTTCGAAATTTAAACAGACGATTATTTCCTTTTTTTTTTACCCACGTCCTGCCGTATCGCATTAGAGTAATTTAGAGTTTTTCCATCCACTCGACTCTCTGTAAACTATTTCCGGTGGGACAGTGAGTGGTTGGCAAAGTTTCGTCGGTCGCATGAGCCTCTGGCTTTATGTGCACTCCAGTAAATCAAGTCAAGCGTTTGTTTTTTAACGCCTTTTTTATCTCCTCCTCGTAGATTTGACTCGTTGACAATTCCATTCATATTTATCCATTTTCGCAGTTTATTATGAGTGTTATAAATACACAGTGTCATAAAAACTGCTCGGGTATTAAAAGAATAATGAATATTTAAAAGAGCATATTCTCGTAAAATTAGAAATATAAAAAATGTATTTTTCAACGCATCGTTTGACTGCTCTAACGAGAGTTGGCACCCTGCCGGAATAGTGGGGGAGGTATTTAACGCGCGCGCCAAATGCTTGCCTGCATAATTACCAGAGAGTTAAATTTTTTTTGTTATCAAAAGAATCTCCTCATTTTTCTTTTTTTTTTATCACCAGCCACAGAATAAAATCCTTTCCTGTTCGGGGAATAAAGGAAATGAGTGTAGATAATCGTTGAATACATTCCGACAACCCTCCATCTCAAAAGAACACGTAATATTCTCGAATCGTCAGACAATCTAAATCCAGCGACGAGTTTCAAGTTGGTCCAGTTTATACACTAGATTTTATCACTCATAGTTCATGCACGCGTCATAAACCCAGCTCCATTTCAAAGGCCCTCTCCCCATTCTTGTCTTTCTCTCTTTTCATCCAACAAATCTCGAAAGCATTTCTTCTCTCGCTGGCCGTTTATACAGAGGCAAAATCTACGGAATGGTTTTCCCTCCGAGCAATTTCACGACGTCCATTCAAATGAAGTTGGACCCTGAGAGAAAGCAGTTTGGTTAGGGAAATGTAAATTATTATTCCACACTGGATCATCCTCAGAAGCACCCAGAGAATCTTTCATAGGTTTTAACCCCACTGCACTGCCAACGACCTGAACCGAATACACTTTAGTATCTTACTTAATATTTTACGATGCAATTTGGCTGAATTTCAAGTCACTCGAGAGTTAACTGCAATCATGTATTCATTGGACTGCAACTGACGATTATCTTTGCTTCATTTTATTGCAGTTGGATGCCAAGCAGAGCCCCCTAGCAATGTTGGCGAAAACGTGCAGTCAAATTGGTGCAGATCCACCGACGAAATCCCTCTTAGCGCCATTAGAAAAAACATCTAAAGCATCAAAGACATCAGAATCGAGGGATAAAGCCTCGCCAACAGTGTCAGTTGAGATTGGAAAGTCTAGTTTCAAGCCATACGAGTCTTGTCTGGGACGTGATAAAGCTTCAAGCCCCGAGGAACAGCAACGAGCGGCCTCTAGCCACTCGGCGTCCGGTAGATCAAGAACACCAGGGAGTAAGCGCTGCTCTAGCAATCAGAGTGCTTCGTCGAGGGCGATGACACCACAAGGACGCAAGACAGCCACACCGAATGGGAATGATCAGACAACGAGGGAATCACCGGCATCAAGAACAAGCGGTGGTACAACAACAGCAGCCCCACCAGAACCAGTATCAACACGAGCATCGTGTAGTCCTCAGCAGTCCAAGGTAACTTACAGCCCGAGTGTTCTGTCGATGGAGCCATCGATGAAAGATATCCAACTGAATTCCTTCAAGCCGGGCACAGCTATACCCACATCAGTTGCAACATCAGTAGGTTATCTTGGTTATCCACCACAGCTGCCAATCGACGTGATGGCAAGTTCTCTAGTGTCTCAGCACCATGCAGCACTGAAGAGCGGTCTGGCTGGTAATCCTTACCTGAGTTATGCAAGAATGAAAACATCAACTGGTGCTGAAACTCTAGTGCCTGTATGCAGAGATCCGTACTGCACTGGTTGCCAATTGAATTCTCATCTCCTAGGGTCAGCAACGGCAAATGGAAAAATTCCAATCTCATCTGCATCGACACCTACTACCTCCTGTCCAGCAGGTTGTGCCCAGTGTGATCATAAAACAAGTGTTGCCAATCCTTATGGTCCAATGGGAGTTCATACAACAGCAGCTGCTGCTTATGCACATGCACAACTAGCAGCACTAGCAGCTGCATCGCAATTGCCTTTTGTATGCAATTGGATTGCTGGTGATACAGCATACTGTGGTAAGAGATTCTCATCGTCTGAGGAGCTTCTTCAGCATCTCAGAAGTCACACGAGTGTCACGGCTAATGATCCAACCGCTGCTGCACAAGCATTATCGTTATTATCACCACCAGGATTACCCCCAACACATCCGCTTCTATCGAGAACATATCCAACACCACCGTTGAGTCCACTGGCAACGGCTCGCTATCATCCTTACGGAAAACCATCACCACTTTTACCACACTCGTTGTCATCTTTGGGTCTGGGCTTTCCACCATCTCATCCTCATTCCGCTGCGGCCGCCGCTGCTGCTGCCGGATTACCACCGTATTTCTCACCTTATTCACTTTATGGAGGTCCTCGTCTTGGTGCTGCTTCTGGTATGCATCCTTGAATGTGATGATCATGGACTTTGCTAAATGTACCATAGGAAACTTGCAGGATATCTTCAAATCTCATTTCGAGGCCCTGGATTTTTCACACGTCTATTATTGCGTATTCCAAATGATCATTGAATGCAGTTCAGCTAATCTGATCTGATTTGGATGCGCCCGTCATGTCTCACTGCTGAAAAATCGAACCCAGTGATCTTACGACCGGAAAGTTGGTTTCAAGAACTCACTTCTGATTAATTCAGTAGTAAAGTGTTGAAATTTTTGTTGAATATCGATTGATCTGAAATAAAGTATTGATTTTTGGAAGAAATATCACAGACATTTTTTTGTCAGAAACTTAATCAGCTGCAGAAAAATCATTGACGATTTTCATTTTAAATCAATAATCTTCGGGATTAATCGATATGTAAGAAAAAATTTACGGTTGACTTATTTAATGGTTTTACTACTTCCGTACTGAATTGCTGTGAATGGTTTAAGCCATATTTCCCAGTCCTTTTTGCTATCTGTCTATTTATATGCAATCGAGATTTATGAATAGGAGAAATGAGAAAGTTGAGCTTCATGCAAGTTGCCTACAATAAAAAAAATACCAACTGTTTAACTGTGATTTCGAATTCGTGTGGGTGAATGAATGGATGGAGTTTAATCAGCGACTGAGGGATAAAACACTGGTACCTCGATACATTTTTTTTTGTACATAGTTATTGCCGTTGATGATAATTGGGGGTGTAATTATCTCGTTCTCGCGTGGAGTGAGTACAAAGCAACTCGAATCGTTTGAATTGCTGCGAACGCAATCCTACGTTTTGCACAGATTAATGAAAAAAAAAAAATTTACTGAAATTCTTTAAATGGAACAAACGATGAATTTTAAATTAATCTCATGTAATCGGTCTATGTACACTCACACACATAATTATTAAATTATAATCATATCTCAATTCAACTAATTATCATTGTAATTACTGTAAATTTGTTTATAGTCGCTCATTGGCAGATGCAGTGGTGGTGACGAGTGCTAATGAATATATGAATATATTATATATATCAGCGTCTATTTTTGCGTAACCAAAGTTTTTAGTAACGAGATCGTTGAATTATAGTGCGACAAGAAAATATTCAATAACTGGGTACATGATGACTCTGCGCTGGAGTGAAAAAAAAAAATTATTGTCGAGATGACATGTAAATGGGTAATAATCGATCAGTGGATATAAATGATTCATAAAGAGAAGAATTAATATGTACATATAGATTTATTATTCTTAATAATAAATGTTGGCCCGAGGACATTGTAAATGCCCTGTGACGAAGGAAATGAAAAGTACTTTTGCTCACCAATGCCCAGACGTTACTCACACGATTTACTATGATATATATCTATGTAAATCTACGTCTATCAAGTGTACCAGTAACTGAAAACAAAAAAAAAAACAATTCAAGATGTTCTAATTAAGAATTAACGGAGTGGGAGAAAATTATGAAAAATGAAAAAACAATGCGATAAACACGTGTACTTCTTCACAGCATTCTGAATAATTGTTTTAATATTGTTAATATGTTAATTTTAAATTGTTTGAATCTCAATCTGAAATACAAAATCATTTCTTACATCACATTATGGATTTTCTCTTTGCTGTTGAAATGTTTACCTTTTGGAATTGCAGGGTACGTTTTGGTGATGTTTTACTTCGTTTTTCCAGAGATTAATTGCAACTGTTTGAATAGCGGTTTTGTCCTCTCGCCGTGTTGGACCAACAATTTTCCACATTCATCCAGCTGACAACTCGTTTTTCGCCTCGAATGGCCTATGGTTGTAGGTCAATCAGTGGCTGTCCAATGGTCGATGTACAAGCTGACGAAATACTAATTGTTCCACATTTTTTTTTGGTCGGATTGTTTTAGGGTCAGCGTTATGCCCGACGATAGCCCTGTTTTTTCGTCGATTGCTCTGTGGATTTTTCAACGGTAACAACTATTTCAAATTAAGATTCCCAATGAAAGCGACTGTGGAAGTACTAAAAATTTAAAAAAAAAAACAATATGTGGTCATCCGTTTTTAGTTCTCTCTAATATTTTGGCAGTTGCGCTTATCTGCTATCAAGCTGTTGATATGTTTTGAAATGTGAAAAAAAAAATGAAAAAATGATATAGAACTCACATGTGACGATTGCTCCGTGCGGCATTGATCAACATGAAAAATTTCATAATGATTTTTTAAACAAAAATTCAAGCAGTATCGTGTACTGAACCTTTGTCTTGACAAGGGAATACTGCAAGGTGAGTTGTAAAAATTATCACCTTTTATACTGCACGAGGGAAACTTAATAATTATTCATGTACATATTTTCTGATAACAGTTACAACGTCAGAAACATCAAAATATTGTCACAGGAAAAGATAGACAATACAATGAATTATGTATTTATCAAACCTGGTTAAAACGTCTTATAACAAAAAATTATGCTAATGATCCTTCACGCTTGATGAAACCATCAGTATCAGACTCTTCGATCAATAAATATTAGGACACACAACTCATTCTTCATCTTGTGAAATTTTTTTTTATCTTTTTTATCTTTTTTGTTTTCTCATGTCATGGGAGGTCACAACGCCATATTAATTTATATTTTTATTATTCAGATTATTTAGAATAATTTTCATTCGTGCAGTTTTGATGAATTACAGAAAATATCATATTCAATCAGTATAATCCCTTTTCAGATATTTTTTCAGGAGACTTGATTCAATTTTATATTTATTGTGAGAGTCGTGGTACTTTGATTTAGGAATGGGTATCAATTGTTCATCACTTTATTCTTCAACTAAAGTAATTAGAGTTGAAATTCTCACCGAGTATTTTTCACTTCACCCTCTCTCACTTTCTCTGGCCTTTCAGTGATTTATGGACAAACGTCGCGACTATCTGCTTGACCTATTCGCCTCGTTAAATCGTTTTCAACCGGGAGAATAATGTATTCATGAGAAATGTAGTTGACTGCAGACAATCTCGACGACAGACATTTGCTCCGACGAAAAAATAATTCTGTTCTTTCGTCAGTTTCTCATTTTTTATTCAAACATTTAAATAACGAATGGAGATAGAGGAGACGTAGTTTAATTTCACCGTGAGCATTTAAAAAAGCTCCTTTTATTTTCAGGTAGACGTATCGACACACGTCATCTTCGGGTTTAGGAGTGAAAATGGAGCGGATAAATTTATCATTGGAATTCGTTATCGCTGAATTTGTGAGTGACCTGCATAAGGCTTTAGTCATTAATACCTTTGACTTGAAAAATTATCGGATTTATCGGTGATATTTGTGGAATGATGATAGGTCTAATTTGTTAGGCAGAGGCGATAAATATTAATGATTTTATATGAGTCCAGGATAATCGAAACTGAAAAATTGAAATGCAAATCCCATTTTATGAAGCACTCAAATTATTTTTAAATCATTCGATCCATGTCATTCATCTAAAGAAAACTTGGACTTCAAAATGATGACACAAAAAAATATTTTGCCCAGCTGAATATACTATTTCAATTTCTTTCTCGCTAGATTAAAAAAAAAACCGCAAAAAGCCTAAAAATTATCGGTAATTTAAAAAAAGAATAATTAATTTTATGATAATTACTGCAAGGATTCACACTGATAACAAGAGATTTCCTCGTTTTTCATATTTTTTTAATATCCATGAAAATCAACGGATTGAAATCGCAGTCGTGGACATAATCCATAGAATCCATCCTAATTGCCCCATAAATAATTTTTAATTCCCATTTTTATCGCGCATTGAAAATTGAAAATTCTGCATTAACATTTTTTTTTTCTATCGAACAAAGCTCGTGCTGATTTATGCGATGGCAATATCGCTTTCCAGGTATGAATCATGCACGCAGCAATATTATATAATACCGACATAGTGAAAATTCTCATACACAGACAAGAGAGAATAAGTCGATTTATTTTCATAGCCCCGGGGGCAGTAGAAGAGAACGTTAGTGAATTTCCGGACGGAGTTGCTCGTCAGGCAAATTACCTTTGGGCTTTGATTGGCCGGGCGTAACAAAAACGATTGGCCGGGTAGATCGTTTGCCCTGCGGCCATTCAAATTCCATTTGCATCTCTTCCGTACACACATCCATCTAATCGTCTAGTCAAATTCATCAAGTTTTCAGGAAGAAAAAAGGATGAAAAAAGGGACACGAGGGGGAGAAAGTTAATTTTCATTTTTGCATTCTTGTTGGCGGAATTCCGGGGGTGACTATGGAGAACTCAATTAAGTTGTGGAAGACCTCCACAGCCTACGGGCAAAACGTGGTCATCCGAGCGGTTGTCGAATATATCCTATAAGGGATGTGGACGCCCCGTATAAATGAGTTATCGTGACTTAACTCGGTTAGGGTGATTGGTTCGCGCGCGATTAGGAAACAATTACCGTCCGGCTAACGACATTAACTGCCTCGGGGGATTTATACGCTACCTTTCATTTTTACACTGACGGATAGTGATTTTCATTACTCGGCAAGCGATTTTTTAAGCCGCCACAAATTTCAAGGAAAACTCGATATACGGAAAATATATATCTATTATATATCGATATGTACTGAAGAAATGCATGTGATATTACTTACGATTTCATATGAAACAATTATATATTTCATCTAGCATTAAAAAATAATTCCACAATGAAAAAAGAAGACCCGATGTTTTGAAGTATATATTATTCATTTAAAAACAATATCTTATAATATTTGAAATTCTTTGATACTATAACAATTTTAATTATTCCCAAAACGAATGGCCTGAAAAATTATGTAAAAAAAATGCAACCCTCGTTTTAACTTGAATGGTGAGAATTAGACATAATTAGAGTAATTAGCTGCGGTGTTATTCTAGTTCTTGAAAAATAGGGGCAATCTTCAGAGAATGTACATCAATAACGCGACGTAAAATTCATGATGAATTGAAGAAGCGATCTCTAAACATGGAAAACAATTATTCAGCACCGGAGATAATAGAAACGTGTCAAAAGGGCTTATTTATGAGCCGTGGAAACCGCCGGTAAACACGAAAAGTGATGCTCACAGTGGGGAGTAGAGTCGTTTGTTTTTTCAATGGAGAGGTTTGAAAAGAAGAACTCGTCACCACCCCAGTGCGTTTATTCGTCGTCATGTATATATACCGAGGCACCGGTGTTCCCGGCATAATCGATTTGAACGGTGCACCTAGGCAATAACTCGGCATTAGAGTGCATTCTTCCAGATCACTCACCCGTTCCAGTGAACACCACCAATGGAGCACATACAAATGTTCCTTTACCTCCCAATACTTGAGACTGCTGAGTTTTTATGATTCTTCACTGGCTCTCTCTGCACACTCTATGATCGATTAGCACGTCGTAGTTTATCGTTTTTTATCCTCTTTTTCACATCTACCCCCCGGCTATTTTTCGTTAATTCTGTTGTACAAATAACTCCGCTTCTATTTTGATTAATCATTTTCGCTCAATGAATTTATTTAACGGTTTTCACCCATTCAATTCTCAAGATTAAGGCGCTTGCTTCGATTGTTCCTCCACCATTTTGTGATTTTGTCATTTAATAGAGACATGAAATTTTGAACTGGAATATTCATGTCCAAGTCTGTGAGATGATTATTTATAATAATTTTTCTCAGTATGTAATTTTTCCAATTTCACTCGGCAATTCCTAGCGATAGATATTTGAAGATATTTCAGTAATTCAATTCAGATAATTAGTTTTCCCACCACCAGGTATCATTCAACAATTTCCAATAGTAATCGTAACGGTAACGACGAAGAAAGGGAAAGGAGTGGATAACAATGGCAAAAGCGTGAAACAGAATGAGAATGAGTATTGGAAACAATTCAGTGCAGCATCGGGGGAATGGCATAGATGCAGAGGTCTCAAGTTCGATCTCTAGTTCCGAGGAAAATTTTCTGGATTATTTGATTGAATCAACGAGACGTCGACGCTGAAAGTTGTCTGCCTTTACATAAACCAATTGGCCGATCAGTTGCCCATTCGAGGAATGATTTGATTTCCGATTCCACTGGATTCCGAGTTGTGTAGACGCGATCCCCAGATTCCGAAACACTTCAGAGCAAGAGAATCCAATCCTGAATAATCCAATATTTTCGTGAATGTGAGGGATGCATAAAAATACGAGGAAGCTTCGGATAAAAAAATTGAAAAGACCGACTCAGTCAATGAATACTTGACTGAATTTACTGAGAGGTAAATACTTCAAAGATTAAAAATTGTAAGTCTACGGTGTCAATTACATATATTTATTTCTTTATTCATTTTATTTATTCACCGTCTTTTTATTTTATTGAGGTATTACAGTTTATTTCAGTTTTAAAATTTTGGTATTTATTATTCATTTTATTTTTTATCATTTTCCGCAACCCTCGCACCAGCATTGCACACCGGGGAAACTGCAATGTCCACTGGTGTGACCCTCCTCATCTGTGCAAAGTCGACGACATTCGCTGTTGTCCCATTCGAAACAAGGTCCTGTGAATTTTTCAGATAGACAATCTGCGTCTATCATTGTGAAACCAATCGTCGCTACGATAAATAATAGTATATACCCCTTCATCTAGACAAGCGCAAAGTTAATTAATCAAATGCACTATTTTTTAAATTCAACCTGAACATATACTTTCGTATTTACAGTGCTCCTAGGCAGTAATCGGCGGACTGCTGAGAACTTGAAATATTGTACGCCTATTTACTCACCCCTTATATACTTAACGGGAAAATAATTGACTTATCTTTATTGATAGGAACGAGGAAAGTCTTCATTTATTGATATCTATATGAATAAAGATTGTAAAAATTTTATCTTAATGAAGTTGACAATGTCTTAGCCATTATATGAATTTTTAATGTTATTTAATGGAGCTATTATTGAAAAGTGAGACCTTGTTCATACGATGATAAGTACTGTAGTGTTTTCTAAATGAAGGAAATTGGTTTGCAGGAATTCCCTGGAATTTTCCTCGTTGAAACGACCTTTCTGATAAACTCCGTCAATTCGTCAATGCATGGCAAAAAAAAACTGATGCTTCTGTTCAATTACCATAATAGAGGGCAATGAATAAATTTTGCAAGATCGATACGTAGTTTTTCTCGTTCTTGGAAAAGAGAGATTTGTATGTTGTCGAAAATGTATAGATGTATCACACAGTGAAAAATATTCAGTAAAAATGACGGAACATTCCACGTTATCAGCGATGAGAAAACGTTTTCCTGAAATTTTTGTGAACGTACTAGGTACTGTGCATGTAATTGAACCTAGTTAGTTTAATGGTGATCAAAAAATCAATATTAGACCTTTGATCTGTAATTTTGATTTCCTCTTCGCTATTTTCGATCACATATTTGATGAGTTTCGACATGGAAATGAGGTACATGAGTATCGGACGATTGATTTTTCAAGAAATGAGATTACATAGAAACATTACATACACCGAGATAAAATAACTCTAGAAATGATGGAATTTTTTTGTGATCGTGACGTAATTTGACATTCGTGACATTCACGGCAATTTTTATGGTACCTCCAGTACTTTTCCCTAAAAGTCAACGTCGATCCACGTTTACGGGAAAGTTCTGTAATTTTTCGAGGACATTTCTCTGCATGTGCCATCAATTTATTAACTGCCATGGAAGACTGAAAAAATTATTTAAGACGTGCTCACTAGCACGTACTCGTTGTGATGGGCTCCCAACCTCTGCTGTTTTTTTTTTCATATCGGGAATAATAATTATTATTATGCTTGCATGAGTTACTGTTCCTTCAAGCATACGCATGAATACTTTCATTAGAATAGTATCGACTTGTAAAAAACACCATTTACGACCCACAAGATAAAAACAATCGTAGTAGTAGAGTGGGCTAATGAAATCGTGAATATTCGTTGCATCATTTTTATTTCAGAGGATTAAATTGAAGTGTGTTTACTTAAGGTTTATGTTTTCACCTAGAACATGCTCGCTGGTTGATAGAGATCTTTTTTTTTGTATCACGTGATCAAATTGTGTAACGTATAATAGTGAAGTTCAGCAACTGAAGTTGATCACCGCAGATATTTTATCAGGTGTTCAGGGTCTTCGTTTTTGTGAAGTAACAAAGAAGTTGGCTGTATTTACAATGATGTGGTTCGAATTTCACAGCCTTTTTAATAGCAAGTGGAGCAAAAACCAAAGAATATTTGACAATTCGAGACGGTAGTGGCACATACTGTCTGTCACATCTAGAGTATATTATCATATTTATTACACGAAGCAATTGAGGGCAACATTACTATTGAAGTGTTGTGTTCCAACCACATGGTTATCATTTTTTGTTTAAAATTTGGTATTCAAATTCCAAGGTAATTTCCAAATTTTTCTGAAAAAAAAAAGATTACAGCTGTCAATGCCATTCCTAAAAAAAGTGAAAAAAATCTGTAGTCCATCCCCATAACTGCTTGATTGTTTGAAAAGATGTTCTCATGTTATCAACGTCATCCCAATTATTCTATCACACCACTAAAAAAATTTTAAAAACGATGAAACACTGGAACAAATTCCTGACAATCATTGGATGATTATTGCTGTAATTACCGCGCAGTTGGATTCATCCCCAAAGAGACTCAATTTCCGGTGGTGCTGGAGATAAAAAAAAACATAAAAATTTTTCATTTCCCGCAAGATCCGAGCGATCTAGACCGCATCAGGCCGTCATGATTGATGGTACAAAGGAGTTTCCACAGTATACATTCACCACAAGAGTGAATGCATGCAATGTTCAAGCGCGTCCAATCACTCGCTGCCAGGAACAATAGATTGAGCCTCTCCTGCTTCTCTCAAGAGTGTTTCATACCCAAAACAAAGAATAAAAAAAAAATAAAACAGGGGTTCGCTTCTTGTCTCGTCACACCACCCGATGTAAATACTGATTCGCAATGACTTTCCGTTCATCTCTCCCTCTTCATCCATAAAAGTGGCGTGTGCTTTTCTCCGTGTGAAAGCAAAGCGATCTCAAACCACAGGAGAGGCTGAACCAGACGAGGGGAAATGCCAGGGCAATCAAACAACGCCCAGAGTAATCAGAGTAAGCGACGAGTGCTTTTCCTTTGTACTCGAGAATTCGCCATTCCCCCTCCAATCGTGCATTTCACGATTACCTGGATGCTACTTGGGACATTGTTTCAGTCAGACAAACAAAGAAAATAATGGAGGGAAAAGAAGTATCAGTGCGGACGATAATGAGGGAATTGCTTTCTTCGGGGTTTATGGGGGGATGTACGTGTCGAACATTTGACAGGGACATTTTGGCCAGCTCAGTAGAATATTTCCAAATTTATTGAGAAATAGGCGAATAGTCGCTTCACAAATGTATGTCCTGAGAATCGACAAGATTTTGGAATTGTGACTTTTATGAAGTGGAATTTTTGAAGTATTTGAACTCGGTATCTGGGGTAGCAAGTGTGCAAACATGCCTAAGAATGACATATTTTTTTCGAATTCCCTGATGCCAATTTTTCCAACTGGTTTTTTTGACTAAATATTGAGTATCGAGGTTTGGAAAACCGTGAGATTGAGTGCGAACTACGGCCTTGAACATCGAATGTTGAATTAAAAATTTACGAAATCACTGAGATCCTTGAAAATTTTCATTTGTCCACAGTCCACGTATCTCAGTAATTTCTTAAATTTCACATTTTTCCCTCCGGAAAATTGAAACTTAGAAAGGATTGAAAATTTGAGAATAGATATTTATTTATATTTCTTTTCAGGATGGGACTGGTGTCTAATCAAGTCAGAGTGATGCGTCCATCAAGGATCCTTCATTATTTGGTGTGAAATCTAATGGAGGAAGGGGAAACATCGCGAAAAGAGAGGCCTCCTCGTCATCGAGAAAGAAACAAATTAATCATCAATGATAAAGGGACAGCAGACCGAGGGGCAAATGAGTGACGTGTTCCGGGCGAGCGACACAATCGCTCTCCATTGTGGTGTCACCTATACGTCTGGAGCTTTTATGATGCCGCGCGTGAACTCAGGTGATTAATCGTTCTGTCGTGTTCACAATTTTCAAGAAATTATTTTTCAGAATTTATTTCACATTTTCCACAGGTTTTCTATAGAAAATTTTCGATCCTCGTCGACAGGGTGGGCGGGGCGAGGGAGGGGGCAGATACAAATGTAGGCTGCATTTGTATTGAGTTTTTTCAGAGTTAGGATGAGAATAGAATTGAGAAGAAATATGTTGTGCGTGACTGTCGGTTGGAGATATGGCTTCGGGGTATTATACAGGGACTGGCTCTGTTGGCACTGGGATGACTCAGCTTTTCGCATAAGGTCGATTATCCATCGCTGCTTGCACGCACCATTTTCTCATTAATCTTTTTCAGTCGTAATTAATGTCCGGTTTGTACGTACAGACTTGACAGCCAGGCCCATACACCCCTGGAACAGTAGGAGGCCGTGAAAGGCAATGATGACTTCGCGGTTGGAGACGTGTTTACCATCTTTTTTCATACGAAAATTCCTCTTGGCCCTCTTATTCATTTCCTTCATCATTCTGAAATGTGAGAGAAAAATGATGGAGGAAATTTGAAAGAATAGGGAAACACGTCAATATGTCTCTCATTATTCCTGCAATTAATGCAATTCGTATAAATTTTCATATTATTATCGGTGGAAAGGAAATTTGAATAACAGCATTTTGGCACGATTTTATAAAATTCATTTAATATTATTACATGCATATTATAATTGTTTAAACAAAACATTTTTATGGCGACAATTTTTCGTTTCATCTCGATTTTTTTTAAGGGACAGAAGATTGTACGTTTTTATTGGTTAAATCTGGAGCTTCTGTTTATTTATTTCCCGAAGAATGTGCGCGCAGATAAATTGGGTTAGGTTAGTCCTAACGCGTTCTCCAATACTCCTAAAAATAAATCTTGACAGTTGCGAAGTTTAGGAACGATTATAGACAAATTGGCGAATTAATGTCTAAATAACAATCTAAAACTGGTACACGTCCGGGGGTCGGGTAAGATCGATGCTCCCAACGTGATTTAATTTATTACTATTCACCGTATACTATCCATGCGTCCCATCCTAATTCTATAATCTCACGGGTAATGAGAATTATTATCGCAATGCACGTGTCTTCTCGCTGTGATGATCCCCGCGAGTACTTGCTGAATGTATAATAATGTAATTAATTATAATTAATCAACCGTGCTCATGATGAGTCTTAAATTGTGCACACCCTGCCTCAGTAGTTTAAAGATTCCACTGAAAAAAAATGGAAAAATTGGCTGCATTTCTTCTAAACTCTTCAGCACGTCCGACTATCCTTAATATTTGACTCCGAAAGTAGTGTTGGCATTAAAGAAAAAACGCCTTTTGATTTTATACAGTCACGATGAATTTATCGAAGCCGATAACGTGAATGATGAACCCTTTCCAAAATACGTTACTATATACTTTTTTATTTTAAAACAATTTGTGAAAAAAATTGCCAGCCAAAAAAAATGGTAATTTCAAGAGGAAGAATTGAAAGAATTGGCACGCGTTGGTGGATAGGGTAAAATCGATGCGCCCTCTCAAGCTAACTTGATTTATTACCCGGCGTCCTCGTCCTCTCCATCCTAATTCTATAATCTCAGGGGTAATGAGGGTCATTATTGTCATTATTGTAATGCGCGTGTCTTCGCGATGGAATGATCCCCCTGAGTATTCGGTCAATGTATACGTTACCCAGGTCCCAACGCGAAGCACGAAGACCAATATAACCTCTGCTGTGGTTCAATGTGTCTCAAGCCCCGTGATCACTGGAGGTACCGAGGTTGGAGTCTTGGTTATACACCGCACCAGTATTATGGCCGACGCCGCATGATTGCACGTTTATGTGATTCCTGTTATTTTCGATCATTATCTTCTGTGCATGCCCCTCAACCCGGGACTCACCTCGTCATCCTCAGGTATCCGACATACAGCCTCACCCGGTTTGCCTTTTTTCTTGGCGAATAATCCTACGTAATCAGCTGGAGAAATCATCCTGATGTTTTATTGATGATTTCATTTTTAAATGGCGCCGAATGAGAGGTTAGAAGCCGGTCTGGGCTCGCCCGACATTCCCCCGACTCTCCGATTTTCAATTAAAAGATATCCCTAAGAATTCCTAATTTTTATATCCATTTCGTTATTTACCGCAGTTTTTTTATTTTAGTTGATGATATGAATAATTAGACAATGCAATGGCTAATTGATAAAAATTTTTTGTTTTTCAATTTGAAATACGACAATCTGTCGACGTCATAAATTGAAAATGAAACTAAAAAAATTTTATGAATTTTCTCTGAGTGGTAATATCCGAAGCAATCACGGATCTGAATGAATTTGATGAAATCGGGCCAAGGCTAGTCCTATATTATACCGTGAAATCTCTATGATTAGGTAAATCTTGTTAGACACCCGTAATTTCAACTGGTGTATTGATAAAGATCATGATTACCCGGCTTTCCAGGAAATTCATAATCTCGTGAACACTACAATTATATATTTATCCACGTATGTACTCGTTACACATGCGTCACCGATTTCCAGAATCGTAACACGTGATATTTAATTGATTCTTTCCCCCCATTTTCCTTCGGTCGAAAATCAAGTGAGTCGATAACAACTCAATTTCCATTCGGTGAAATGATGCATGATGACACATCGGCGATGCTGATGATTCGAGTCGGTGAACCGTTTAACCAAATTTTTATTTCCATGCATTGGGAATGGAAATTAAGTTGAATTTAATTCAATAATTTGCGAGAATGCAAACCGATCGTCACCGCATAAATTTTAAAACCCGATGAATATGTATTCGACAGAATAGGTAATAATCGAGAGGCGATTATATCATCGAAAATTATTCAATAAACGCGGCAATGCCTGCAAAAAATGTCAGCATTTTTTTATATTAATCCACAATTTATTGTTCCAGTCAAACATAAAAACTACTGTTAATCCACATATATAGAAATATATAGAAATGAGTAAACAGGTGCATTATTACTTTTTAATCTCGAAACTATTACAAAATATTCCTCTACTTCATGCCTAGCGAACATCTCACAGATTATATATATTTCCGGCGAATTAAATATAAGAGCATATAAGATATACATGGGATTATATTTTGACTGGAAAAGGAGGAGAGAAAGAGGTTGCCCCGGTGAGTAGATTATTCGGTTTAGCCCGACCCTCTTCTATAGTGATAAAAAGCTTTTTGCAGGACATAAGTTAGAAAACGATAAAAGCACTAGGAGATAAAGCAGTATGTATGGTAATCGGTTGGGAGACATTGGAAAAACGAAGTGAGTGTATGAAGAGGGATAAAAATGTGAACCGAGGGGATATAGGGAGCCCTCGGTATAGCTTCTGAACATATTCTATCAGTCTGATAGCTCTCGGTGGAGCACTCGGTGTCTTGAGGCACGACCGGATGCGTTGATATCTAATACCAACGGGGGCGCGGCTTTTTCTAGGCGTTTTACAACCAAACGTGCAATATTCTCGACGGGACATTGGAGCCAGACGATGAGACGACAGAGGAAGGGGGTATGCACCCACGTACCGAGGGGCTTTAAACTTTCCATGTAAGTGGAACTCGTTGCTCGGTAAATAAAAGTGCGAACATCCCACCTAAAGCGGCGCACCATCGCACGGGAGCTGTTTCAACACTTTTACATCATTTTCTTTTTCTTTTTCCGTAATAGCTGGCTTTTGCACTCTTTATAAAGTTGCAGATATTTCACTTGGGATTCTTCATTGAGACATTTTTCTACCGTCATGATGAAAAAACTCTAACCACCGACCACCACATTGGGCTTTCACAATCACGAAAGCTGGATGTGAGAGTAAGAAAGGATCCAGATGGATGAACCAATTACATGCTTTAAAATTGCGGGCTGTTTTTCAGTAGTAGAAAAATTACCAGTATTATTTAGAAAATCCTGTTGAATATTATGAAAAAATTGTCTGAGGGAGAAAATCTAGAAAATTCTAAAAAAGAGAGAAAATCTCAAAAATTTTGTACAATTCTTTCATTACTTTTCTATGGTCGGACCTTCTCTCCATCACCCCATAACTCAATGAAAGTGAGTTTACAACACTTATACACCGAAGTTATATAATTTCCACATTTTCAATAATTCAAATCTCTTCTCTCCGGTGGATAAAATAAATGAAAGAAAATTGGAATAATTTATTCTCAATTCCATGTCACCCCCAATTTTATGGCGCACTATATTCGCGAGGAATTGTCGAGTTTTCCTTGGAAATCGAGGTCTCCCCCTTTCATTTACTCAGCCCAGTGAAAATTACCCCGATGCGAGTTATTGACTATAAATTACCGAGGGTCTCAACCCAGTCTCAACCATTATATATATATATATATATATATCTGTCGTTATTCATGCGAGTGACGCCTCAGAATCCCCGGAGCCACTTGCCACAATGTCGTTTTTCTCGAATGGTTATAGATGCCTCTAGGTACTTCCACAGCCACATCCTTACCTCATCTCATCCCTTCGCACTTCATCCATCCACCCTTCCCATCTTCCATATTAGCCGTCCTGAGGGTCGACGAATTGCTATACATTTACATTTTATTGCGCCCTTCAAACACGTATTGCCAGTCGTTTACGTACCTCCAACCATCTCGCGTATTTTCTACTCCGCGCGAAATGCCATCCCTAAAAAATCGATTGAAATAAATATTTCCTTGGGTTTTACCTAACGAAATAAAAAATACCAAGCCACATATGTATCCGATATTATTATAAACAAAGCGAGAAATATTTCTTGACTCTAATGATTAGGATCCCACGGAAAATACGAGTGAAAGTAAAAACGATATTAAACTCTACCCCGAAGAAGATGCTTGATGCTAAATTCATGGTATATCCTGGACTCGTGGGCGGTCGATGATTCTCTCTCCCTCACGATAACCCCATACAACTGGTCAAGATAGCTCTCCTCCTGGGTGGCGCTCACTAAGTCACCAGTGGTCTACCGTATCTCACAACAGTGGATACCTCGTCGCAAAATACCCCATGGGTATCCTTCTACATTCTCCCCATTGGGTATTATGATAATGGCCCCTCTATCTATGCGTCGTATCGACTTGTCGAGTTATTGTTGCTGCCTCACTGCTACCATCGCGTGCACCTCCAACAATCCTTAGGTGAGGTGATTGCAGAGGGGAGGAACAACCCATTCCCTCACCTCATGCTCTCCTGTATGTGAATTGCATTTCGAGTCCGAGGAAGATCGACCAATACTCCCGAGAGCACTTGGCAAGGTGTTATCTGATTCTCTCTCGTGTCCCTCTTGTACGCCAACAAAACACACACCATTCTGGGCTATTGCGGCTATTTCTCCCCTCACTTTTATCTTCAACTAAAATAAAAGAAGAGAAAATAATTCGCCCCAGCGCATTATGCAGTGCGTGTCCGGCGTATCACCTTCTGGTACTCCGCAAACAAGGCGCAAACCTCATTTAACCGATGAAACAACTCTGCATTTATGTCCTCCGGCGTGCGCACACCAACTCCTCTGATTCCGTCGTGACCATTCCCTTTGATTTTATTTTCAACTTGGTACTTTTGTTTGTCAGGATACCCTTAAATGTGGATCATTGTCGCGAGAGTCGGTGGAATTGCTGTCACTCGGGATTTAATCTGGATCGATAGATTCGAACCGTTTTATTGTACTCGCAGATAACTGTCTCGACTATTTACAGTAGAATCCTGTTACACTCGCACCACTCCGCAATTTCTGGTTTGGCGTATCTTTCGTTTTCCCCAGTCCAATACCTCCGGGCTACAAGATGCAAACAATCCATTGTTTTAGCCGGTGAGGAATTGAATTCCAGTAGAATAAAAGCAGGAAAATAAATTTTACACTCGAATTTTCTGTGGAAAAATTCAGTCTAGTGGAATTCTCCGAATTCGGGTCCCCTACAGCCCCGTGCACGGGACTATAATACCGAGAGTTTACTGTAATGGTTTATTAACAAGGATAAGAATAAAAATACCAGTGAGAGTTTGGAAAAAAGTTTGTTAATATCGGAGGAAAAACTGTGACATAAAAATGGTTCCGAATTCTGGACCTTTTATTCTTGACTTCATAAACTCGTTTTATTAGATTCATTCTTTCATTTCTTAAGTTTTATATGAAATTGGTTTACACAGAAAAGGTGTCGAGTATGAATATAAAATAATCAAATAATAAAAAGGATATAAATAAAAATTTTCCGAAAAGTGTAGTCTCGGACTTTTGGATGATCTAATGGATCGACATACGATAAAAAACGCAAAATCAAAACGTCAGCGATTAGAATACTCCCATTGGGAAGCAGCATGGCAAAAAATCACGAAAAAACTAAACTCTCAGACTATGTTCAATAACTAGGACACCCTTTTATTGTATACATCATGACAACCGGCAGTTTCTCTTTCACCGGCATGAACCGCACGAATGAATAACGCTTTTAATGAAAACTTTGGATGCTCGCGTATCGCTCGTAAATTGCTCCCTCAGTTGGACTTCGCTGTCTCTCTTGCCCTCGGTGTTTGCCACATATACGTAAAATATTTACCGAAATTGATATTGGATCCGATTTATCCGGTCCATACGTGACGCGTTTAACGAGTGGCTGCTGTGTGGTATGTGCTGGCAGTTGAAACGATAGCGGTATACGTGTGGCTTGCCGATTGTAAAACTTTTCAAACTAGTTTTATTACTCTCTGATACCATCGTGTCGATGTTCATAGCGGTTTTTGTGGTCTCCCCCTCATGTATTTCATTGTCCATATTGGTATTCCAATGCTAACAGTTTCATTATGGAAAATTTTTCAATGTTTTTGCAGAAGAGAGAACTCGGTGATTGATTGTTTCCCTCAGTCTTCGATATGGTTTTTTTTTTAGAGGTTCGGGGGCTTCCTCACTTGCTGATTTGATTTATGAGGAGTAATTGCACGTGGTTCGCTTGGCATCATCGCCTATAAGCCTCTTGCTTTCAATAATTGGAGCCTCCAGGCGGATGGGGAACACGCCTTGGTAACTGCCAAGTGTCTGCTCTCTTCACACTGGGATTATGACGAAAAATTGCCAGATCAACTATCAGGGGTTGTAATTGAATATATTTTTTCAGGGTCGTTGAGAGTTCCGTTGAAAAATTTCCAGGTGAGGGTTTTTCATTTTTAATTACGATGGTCAATATTTTTATTGGGACTACTGAGGAATGAATTTTTAAAAATCATCCATAATTCCTATGAATAGAATTTGTGAGTAGAACGAGCAGTGTAAAATTCTGCACAACTGTGGAATAGCCCTTGCCATCGAACCACTCGACATCTGAGTCTGCACGGTTATTTGAGTTTGCTCTGGCCAAGTGCATAAGAGGATAACCGCGAAGGAGAAAATCACGTTTGAATTGCAGCTAACCTCCACCTATCCCCAGCAAACTCGTCCACCATCGCCACAACGTCGGCTTATTTATTCCCGGAAATGCCTGAGCAGCGATTTGTTAAGCAATTGTTAGGTACCCCTTTTCACTCTGGAATTGCCCCCCATCCTCATCGACAAACACTGGTTTTCCCGGTGCATACAGAATCATAGAGACCGAATGGCACGATGGGAACGCGACCGAGACTCTCATCGAGCTCCTGAATAATACAAATGTCTAAACTACCGCTCCACAACTTCCTCACATTTCTGTTCTCGTTTTCTCAACGCTCACGATGATTCATCTCCTTTTATTTATTTACATACGCTTTTTCTCTCACAATGTATCTTGAAACGGCTGTGCATTCTGCCAATCATTGCATACCAGGCGATATTAAAAGTCTCATACCGGAAAGCCATCCAGAGTCCTGCGATGGGGGCCAAATGCCAAGAGAGATCGCTGACAGTTAGGAGGTATCATAAATCCTCGAAACAGCTTCACCACGCTGGGAAGCTACCGAACATTCCTTCAGATGTCATCCATCACTAAAAAATATTCCGGAGATGACGCGACTACAGCCAACACTCTTGAAATATGTGCGAACATCATGCATTTTGGAAAGGAACGGAAATATCTCCGAAATTGGTGAGGAGTTGTGAAATAAAATATATCTGACCTCTCATTCAACCTCAACGTGAAAAAAAAAAATTATCAATTCATTGAATAATTGACTAAAAATTGTTTTCATGGCTCTTCACGGAGAAAAAGATTTTTGATTGCCAAATAATAATAATGATAATGTACTTCGAGAAAAAATATTGTAAATATTTACAATTCATTTTTTCAACAGTTTTATTTTTTACCTATGGTTCCTTATGCTTCGAGATTGGTGAAGACGAGCTAGAATGATTACGTCTTCACCAAACAATTGGTGAAGACATTACGAAATATTCTTGGTTTCTCGTAAATACCCATTGGACTTCCTCAGATGGTCGGCCAATTATTTAACGAGCGACTGCTCTCCCTCTCGTATTTCAGTGGATGCCGCCCGTTGCGAGTGTTTGTTTTATTGTCTTACCTCAAACAGTTTTCCACTCGGGTTCCTAACTCATGGACTTGGTTAATTAGATGCCGACTTAACGATTAAATTAATTCTCCTACCTCGTTGGTAAAGGGCTGGCAGCGGTCGGTGGCAAGTGGTATAACGATGGGTTTTGCTGGAGGTAACCAAACCTCTCATTCCACCACTTAACCGACCTATTTTCGTCCTTCTCAGGGGCATGAGGAGAAATGGCTGAGGTAAGTCGGTGTCTTTTACCACGTTTTGTCTTGATAAACTGCTAACTGTGGGATATCACCTGCACTCTAGGTGGCATTCGCCAGTAGACTATTTCGTCCGCTGAGTAGATCTTTGCCATGAATACATCCACCCAAGGAGTCCAGTGAAAATTTGTAAAAGTGGGGAATCTCTTCATGTCTCTCTTCATATGCACTGAGAAGAAAATTCATTTATGTTTCCAATTCGGTATTTTTTCAGCTAGACAATTTTTTTACCTGGAGATAATTCTGATTAGGTTCTCAGTATCATGATCGTGCTGGTCTCGAGGATGATTATCCTGGGTACGACCTTTGGTGGAAAATTTCCAACAATTTTTTAATCTCTATAAGTATGAAGAGAATTAACCCCCATTTTACGCAAATTTGAGTCTAGGAATGTTTTTATAAAGGATAAATCCACCGAGAAATTGAGAGAAAATAAATTTGTTCGAGGTAGAGTTTTTTTTCGGAATTGTTGAGGTTAAATTTGGGTAGAAATAGAGTGTTGAGTGAGATAGAGAGAAAAAGGAGGTGGTGAACGAGACAGGACGGGGTCAGCGAGGTTATGGCATCTCTGGAATTCGTGTAGAACATATTTGGGGAGATTTTCTCGACTTGATTTACAGAAACCCAGCAAATGAATACATTCGTATGCAGCTATTCCGGCCTTTCTCAATTGATTCTTTCCCTCATTACCTTCCCAGGAACCTAGCATCACAGAAAAATCAAATGAAATGACTCAATCCCTTATAAATTACCCTCCGACGGAAAACACTTCTGATCCACCGATGAATAGCACCACTACACGATCCGAGAGATCACGATCAAGAGCGAGAACTCCAGATTATCCCCGTAATGAACGGAAAAGTCCGCATTAATTAGTCCACGAGCACAAATTCCCCATTGGCCGATCAAAATGATTAAATTCATCAGCTGGAATTTTTCTGTTGATAAAAAAAAAGCATATTCTCTTTCTCCTTTTACTGTACACCTTTTTACCTTTTCAGACTCGTGGATTCACGCGCAGAAAATAATTAACTGCACGCGAGATTCATTACGCTGAACAGGTAAAGCCAAATCAAATTATTGAGAAAGTTTCATTATTAATGTTGACGCGGCCATCAGTAGCAGACACCGGGGATAATTCATGCCGACACAATTGCAGTGGGACTTATCGTTGAAGCGCCAGTGTACACTCATGATACATATTGCAACTGCACTTTAATTGCCGTCATTAAATTAATTATTTCAAAATACCGGCGTATCATTTTTTTCACTCTTAAGAATTCAACTCGATAACTATCACGAACATTGTATTTTTATTACTTCATTTTTATTCGAGATTATCGCAATGATAATTGCACATTCAACTTCAGGTGTACGATAACGAGACGATGAAAATAACTTGATGAAATGGTCTTACTGTTTCATTTGTCCAATTAGTCATTCAATAACCTTATACTTTTCAATTTCAGAGACTCATTCTCTTCTAGCTTCCATCATACTCAACATTGCATAATTCACTCGGAAAATGAGTATTCGATTACCGCATTGATCGTAATTCTCCACTCTTTTGCACTCCCTCTTTTTCCTATATCACCTCATGGGGTAGAAAGAGCCCACGGAGCAATTTGCATACCGTTCACCTCCAGCGGATCAGAAATTTTAATAAGACCTGCGGTGAAAAGGAGCCTATTATGTACGCGGTCATGCATAAATGTGGTGGCTCAGGACCCACGAGGGGGTGGTGAAGTCTTCTCCCTCATCGATAATGGAAAAGGGAGAGATTGGTCTGAGGTACTGCAAGAACCCCTCGAGAAACATTCCAAAATCACTCGAGTTATTGCTCGTTGGGTACCAAAACCACAAATTAAATACCGAAAGCGTGTTCTACGAGGATAATACGGGGCGGACTACCTGGTAAAAATATTTATTCCCGTGGGGATTGTTCGGGACTCCCTCGGTGTGAGCGCAATATATAATATATATAAACACAATCGCGAGAATTTTATGATTTTTAACGAGTCAGACCGTTTTTCAATCGGGCCTTCACGATTGTTACTTTATTGCGCAATGGCTGCGAAAAATTACTGCGGACGGAATTTTATCTCGTTTTTTGGTCTCATCCGCGAGAAATCAATAATGTTCATTTAAAGTTCAATTTTTCGATTATTATTTATGTTTTTTTTCCAATAATTAATTAAAGATTTCTAGATATTCAATATTCAACCATGAGACGGGCTAAAAAATATAATAAATAAAGAACGGATATATTAGTTATTAATATAGTTTGTTAAGTACTTTAAATTGCCGATATTGATTCTATGTTATTCGACAATTCTACCACACATGACAGTACGATTATGATCAAAAATTTTAAACAGCTTCGGATCGAACTCCTATCAAGTGCCGACCAGAAAAATATAATGAGTCACTAATCAGGTTATTTGGAGGCAGTACTGAACAACAAAATCAGATTCCAAGATTTCGATCAGACGTGGATCCAACGATGAACAACTGATCAAAAATTGATGAGGATCAGTCTCAACTGATCAATTTCTTATTAAAAAGTGATTTGAATTTCCACTGGGTTACTGAAGTGTAAATCTAAATGTGACTGCGCCAGCTGCACACAGGGGCTATCGCATTAAGCCCTTGGATGGGCCCCTGTCGTGTTTCTTTATGATCCAACGGTACGTGAAATGCACACGGGAGCCTTTATCATTCTCACACGCGTATCAACATCATCCTCACTCGCTCTATTTATTCCCCGCAAAATCATCCCTCCTTCATACCCCCCGCGAGTGTCACCCCTCGTTTCATCCCTTCTCTATTTTAACCATCCAATGATTTTCTCAAAGGGTGGAAAGGAAAATCATAAACAATTCATAGACAATCGACTTGAGGAACATGTTGAGGTTTTAGCTTCTGTTCGTTGCAAAATTAAACGCTCGCTCGCATGTGAAAACAGCCACATGTCTTTACGTTCAGGGGCTGTGCAAAGTTGTACGACATCAAGTGTAATAATAAACGGGGATAGAGTTGCAAATTGGCGTTGAGTGGGGTAAAAGAAAAAATAGTCAATAGAATACACAGTATTATTCACCACTGTACTTTGATGGTTGACGTGGCCTCGGGTCCCTCGACTCAAACGTGCAATTTCTTTCCGCTCTTTCTTTCTCACTTTTTCAATTCTTTTTTCTTTCCCTTTCTCTCTCTTCTGGCTGATAAAGTACCTCAGAGTGGCACGAATTTTCATCCAATAAAAAATCAAAACCATTGGCTAGTCGTGGATTTTCATGTGTTAAGAATCGAGGTCTCGCCATTTTTGGAAATTACAGCATAATTACAGATCCATGGAATTCTATTTACAACTATTAACATTTATTAATAACTTCAATGAATTATTTTCAAATTCAACTATTTGTTGGGTACCATCAAGAATAGTGGGAATACAATCTGATTTATGTAGTGGGAAACAAATTATCCAGTATCAATCATTTTTTTTTATACAGTACGCCATGTGTTTGTGTTTTTACAATAATAGATCGTGTGCATGTCATAGACGGTGTATCAACATTGAAAGTTATTACGCCTCAATTTGTTCTAACATCTCAATTATAAGCGGAATCCTTCAGAACAGAAAAGTGGGACCGCCTCCACATTAGCCATGACATTTCTATTTTTATTTAATACTCCGAACTGTTTCCAACTTTGATAATTTTAAACTACCATTGGTTATAATCAGCTTCCTAATGAGCTCTTAACTTGACTCTTGATTATTCATTAACGAAAGAGTCTCGCAATTAGAAATTATTTGTCGACATAAAAAATTCGTAACTCTCGATCCGTCAGCGTTGGCCACTACCCTCGACAGATAAAAATATTCTGATCAATACCGAGGAAATAATCTGCACCCAACTAAAACACTGAACGAATCAATAAATCAATACCTGTCTGAGTGAAAAAAACCATGCGTCATAAAGAGTCACACTGTCTTTGTTAAATTCTCTCATGCATATCAACTCCAAAACAACCAAGTACCCTGCCAAGAAAGCCACAACATTTCCTCCTCATTCCATAAATTATTATCACCCGTTATAACCCCAATAATGTACTTTGTTCCCTTCTCTGTAACAATAAATAAATTACACAAATTACAGAGCAAGCTGACCCACATGAAGTGCAACATCGAACAGCAATTCACATGACTATTTCATTCGACAGCAATCACCATTCCGACTGTCCAACTGATGATTGAAGACAAAATGGTGGATAATCGTTGAAGGAAGACATAAAGAAGTTATTGAGTTTATGAAATTGCCAATAAGACGATAAATAGGACATGAGAGCAGGTGATGATAGAGTAATGGACACAATGTATACTTTTCATACAGCCAACAAGAGACAGAAGGGGTTTGTGGAGAAGAGGGGAATGTACGCCAGCACGTCAGGGCATTAGAGGTAATCGTTGGCCAGAGCTCGCGCCCGTTCGACGTCCAATGCATTAATGCATATGCCCCCCAACGGTTAAATTATACAACTTGTCTGACTTCAAACCTATAATGTACGTACATTATTCTGTAATTTATTGATGTTATAATAATTACTCAGTGCGATCGTCATAATTACTGTAATGATCGAGCACCGTATAAACAACCGCCTTGGGTGCCTACACATTTTTTTTTTCTCTTTCTTTCTATTCTCGAGATAAGTGTACAGTGTAGTGTGTACTTTATATTGACGTGTGTATGATAGGTCTGATACACGCATGTGAATTTGCTATCTAAACTTGGAATGCTCGGTGATTAAAGCGAAAGTTGAGCTGTGGATTCATGTTGGAGACTCCAATGTGGGCAATTACATAAATTACTGGTGAGGATTCCAACACCTCGGACAACTTCCGCCTCGTTACCACGGTGTTTCGAGGGATTAGATAGTCACGAGGAGGTTGCGAGTGATGGGTTATCTTTGATTGTGATTTATCTGTCCGGACGACGGCGGAACAATGAATTCATTATTTTTCCTTGGTGGATTTTTTTTGAAATGTGAATATCCGCGTGAGAATTGACACCTGTACCTTGACTTTCTCTCTTTCCTCTTTCTCCCTTTTCCCCTGAGACCGCCATCTGCTGTGGTGAATCAATTTTGAATTATGGGAGACGTGTGCGTTGGGGCCTTTCGCCGTTTGACAGCTTTGATTACTACGCGATTAAGGATCAGAGGTTGGGCAAAGGATTGCCATGCATTGTTGTATAAATTTAATTAGTACTTGGATTTCCTGAATATTCCGGGATTTATGGTGGGAACTATTCTGTCAACACCGCGGGGACGACGGACCCACAAAATGCGAAATTGTTGTAAGACACATGCGAGCTCCGACGGTTGCTGATGGCATGTGCAACTTTTTGAGGATAAAGATCAGTTGATTCATGATAATTGCATGGGAAAATGACTTCTCTGATGAAACAATGCACATTGCTTTTGAGAATGAGGAATAATCTTGCTCGATGTCAGAGACAAATTACTCTCGTCCAATACAAAACTTCGACTATCGTCTCATCAATTTTTATACTTCACAATTTTGCGATATAAATGTTAGATTTTTCTCACAAATTAAACTTGGCGATCTCACCAATCTTGACAATATTCTGAAATGCACATCATGAACACCACTCGTGGCACGTCTCATACGTCATACACGATCAATTGTAATTCGGCCGACTAATCACTTCCGACTCCCTCTAGTTACGATCTGATAAAATATTCTTAATATCTTCCCTCAACGGACAAATTATACAACAGTTTTTATCACAGACTTACGTCACTCGGTGGTTGAGTAATATCATCGTAACTGGCTCAACTACAATTGATTTAGAGAACACTCCTGTAATTGTTCCATTTAATTGTTAAATGGTTGAGTTCGTTTCTCGTCCTTGACTACCTCATATATCATTTATTATAAATTCCTAATTCTTACGACTATATATAAATAAACATATATATATGTAAACAACTGGGTATGGTACACCGATTCTCCGTTAATTCTCATCAGAACATAATTGAAAGAGCCAATTCGTCAGTTCTAAGGATCATTGCTCTTGCTCTTTTTGAGGTTCAACTCCTCAGAAATGGCAACTTTCGATCGTCCTTTGGTCTCAGGCAGAGTAAAGAGTATGATTATCATAGTGGTAGCTGAGCATGCCGCGAGAATAAAGAAACTCACATGCATTCCAAAGTTAGAACTCACAAACGGAAAAGCCAGTGTCGTCGAAAAATTAGAGAGAAATTCGGTAGCCAGAGAAATTGAAATCCCTAAACCAACAATATCTTGACTGAAGCACTCGGAAGTGACGACGGATGTACCAGGGCCAAGTCCTGCACAGTAAACGAGAGCAAAACCGGATACTGCAACAAGTGGAATCCATGCAACTGACGACAAGTCGTACTCTTGACTTTGCAGTAAGAGATAGGTTCCAAAAGCCACGTGACAGGTTGCAATTCCTGCGCACGATGATATGACGAGCTTCCGCCTTCCGAGATGATCTATTGTCAACGTTGATATCAATGATCCGATAATTTGTATCCCTGCGATGACTAGAAGTGAATCGTCTGCACTCACAGCAACTGATTCCTCATTGGCTTTTTCAAATATCATGCCAGTATACGAAAACTGAAAAATATTTATCACTGGATCATGATCAGATTATTGTACAAAAAGATGTGTAAAAATAATTTACTATTATTGCATATCCACTAAAATGTTGTCCCGCATAAAGAGTTCCTGAGATGATCAATGTTTTGATCGTTCCACGATCTCTGAAGAGATCCTTGAAACCTGCAGTTTTCGTTGACTCAGGGGTGAACTGTTTTTCCAGTAATTTCAATTCTTGATCGACACTTGCTTGGTTATTATTCCTCAGCCACATCAGAGATCTATGGATCAATAATAATATCCGATGATTGATCAGTCGATACATGGGCTCAGATGATTTTACCTGGCGGTGTTCTCAACGAGACCCTTCCGCATAAAATAAGTTGGAGATTCAGGCAGGAAGACGAATCCAATAATAAATATTACAGGCACGAACAGCCCACACACTGCAAAATTACGATAACTCAAAGTTGCACCTAGAATAAATGACAGGAATGTTCCGACATTGACGCCAAATGAGAGAAGACTGCCCAGTGCACCTCTGATCGAGTCCTCAGCGATCTCAGTTACGTAGACTGGCATCATGGGGAAGGACAATCCGCAAACAACCCCAGCTAGGAGACGGGCGAACAGCACGTAGTAGAAATTTTCGGCAAAAAGAATCAACAGCCAAGCTCCGATTCCCGATACTGCTATGACCCATGCCAGAATTTTACTGCTGATCTTGCCGGCGGTCAATGCGTAGAATAGTAAAGCAATCAATGACATCAGACCTGTTGCTGAAGATAGGACTGAGATTTGATCCTCGGTTATCGGTTCGGTACCAACTGGAGTGTCTTTCTCCATCAGTCGAGGACCAACTGGAGAAATCCAGGCTGACAGCATCCCACCGGTTACCGCTGCCAAATTGGCTGGAATGAAAGATTTATCAATCCGATTGGAAAGAACGAATCGATGAAACGTCGGTGCTAAATCTCCCTGAGAAGATTTCAGAATATATTTCAGGTAATGATAATCAATTGATATAATCTTATTTCAATTGTAGATGTCTGAGTTGGAGAATAGCCTCTCTAAACCTTGTGCGCTACTACCGAATTGGTACTTACCGATAATTGCTGCGACAATTTGACGCCACTTGGTGAGATCAAACGAAAAACCGTCAGAACCTTTCATATCTTCTAATTTCGGTAATGATCTTCCAGGGTGTATCCTCCTAGGCACTGACAATTAATCGTTGACCACGAACACTTCGTTTGCCGTATGTCAGAAAATGATCACTTCTGTAGACGCAATCACATTCAATATTTTCCATTATCTACTGATTTGATAAAAGCAGTTGATAATCTGCGATTTTTTTTTAACGACCGAACAAGGTCTTCCGAAGGAATGGAATTTCATTGACAAGGACTTTGTAAATCCGAATCATTTACATACCACTGGTATTGTAATAACCGGTTAGACACAGCGTCAAGAGCAGTGAAACGAACACCAATAATTCTAATAGTCCATTGCGTTTTTCTATTACTGAAGAATTGTCGGTGCTTTATAAAATGAAAATATCGTGCTCACTGCAAAGTGACTTATCCCGTAGTGAACTACTGATAACGAAACGATTCGTTATTGTGCCTTGTTAGAGTTTTTCCATTCTTCACGTGAATATTTATTCCTACGTCGCATATGCCTCAGACATGTGTTTGTCACATTTTAGTATTTCCATTCTCATTGAACGGTTGGAGTTACCAAAGTACTTCCAATATCAAACTGATTAACATTAAACGATTCTCATTAAATTCCGAAATATCGATCTTATTCAATATTACGTAATTGCAACTGTAGATGAGTGCTGTTTAGTAATAGTAATAGTAATAGTAATGGTAATGGTGGTCATAAAGCTTATCTTAAAAGTATTGAGGGAATAATGAATAAAAAATAATATTTTATTTTTAATACATGATTATAATAAAGACAACTACTATGTCCGAAATTCACATCGGACTAGTTGCATGCAAACGTAAAATAATTAGCCAGTCGTTACTTGAATAGCAATCGATACCAGATGCAATTAAAAAATTAAGACTCACCTGTCTTGCTCGTCCAGCTGCGCCACGTTATCTATTAACCCGCACGCTTGTATATTTTTTTCAATTACATCAAATATCTTGCGTGACACGACATGTTGTTTATTCCATGTTCGTAGTTATGAAGAAGGCAGCATTCTGCACGGGAGTGAGTCTCCGGACAGACAAACCGCGATTGTCGTTCGTATTTTTTCAATTACCGTACTGAGTCAGTTGCAGTCGATAGAAAAATTATGCAACACTTTTCATCCGCGAATCACTTGGGAAAAGATTTTCATAATCACAGGATGCATTTATTAAGTATTTTTCTAGCTCTTTAATAATTGTTGCAATAATAGAATCTCACTTCCGGATGGAGAACACATCACAATGTGGAGTTCTTCATCGATTTCTGTGATTATATCTTCATAAAATATTTTCCCGAGTTCAAGTTTCATTGAATTTTGATGGATCGTCATGGTTCCTTCTTCTTCGATTCAATTCTTCAGTAATAGCTGCTTTGGATCTCCCTTTGGTCTCGGGCATAATGAAGAATACGATTGCCGTGGTAACAGCGCAGCACATAGCGAGAATAAAAAAACTCACGTGCATACCAAAAGTAGAACTTACAAACGGAAAAGCCAGAGTCGTCAAAAAATTCGAGATAAATTCTATACCCAACGAGAAAGACATTCCTAAACACACAATATCTTGACCAAAACACTCAGAAGCAACGATGGAGACGCCCGGAGCAAGTCCTACAGAATAAGCAAGAGTAAAACCAGCAACTGAAGCAGTTGGAATCCAGGGCAACGACGAGAGATCATATTCTCGATTTTGCAAGAAGAGATGAATTCCGAGAACCGCATGACAAATTCCCATTCCTGCACAAGATGAAATGACAAGCTTTCTTCTCCCAAAGTGATCAACCGTAAATGTTGATATTAATGATCCGCTCATTTGCGTTACAGCGACGATCAAAAGCGAATCGGCTGCACTCACAGCGATTGATCCCTTATTCGCTTTTTCGATTATCATTCCACTGTAAGCGTCCTAAAAAAGTATCGACAGATTTTTTGTTAGAAGTTCCAGTGATTTATGATCGAGCAAGCATATCCCTTTAGATTAATGAACAAAATGAATTATGTGGGAATAGCTTACAAGAATTGCACATCCCCCAAAATGCTGTCCTGCATAAATAGTTCCCGCAATGATTACTGCCTTGATCGTTCCTCGATCCCTGAAGAGATCCTTTAAACCTGGTCTTTTCAGTGAATCAGGTTTGAATTCGGTCTCCAGTAGTTTCAACTCGCGATCTACAGCTTTCAGATCATTATTTCTCAGCCACATGAGAGATCTGAAAATTAATACTGTTCTTCAATAATTGCAGTTATATTCGCAGGAATGTCATGCGAAGTTACCCAGTGGCTTTCTCAGTGAGTCCCTTCCTCATGAAATAAGCCGGAGACTCAGGCAGGAAAAGGGATCCAGCAATGAATACTATGGGCACAATCAATCCACAAATAGCGAAATCACGATAACTCAGGGTCGCACTGAAAATAAAAGTCAGCAATGTTCCCAGACTGACGCCAAGCGCGAGAAGGCTTCCTAGTGTACCTCTGATTGAGTCCTCAGCGATTTCAGCAAGATAGACTGGTATTATGGTGAAGGTCAACCCGCAAGTCACTCCGGCTAGGAGCCGGGCTATCAGTAGGTAGTAGAAATTCTGGGCAAAAAGTATCAGCAACCAACTTCCACTTCCGGATATTCCTATAATTCGATTGAGGATTTTCGTGCTAACCCGACCAGCCGTACATGCGTAGAAGAGTAGAGCAATCAGCGACATCAAGCCGAGTGCTGAAGATAGAAAAGAGAATTGACTTTCTGTTATAGGTTTGGTTCCAATCGGCGTATTTTCGTCCATTAATCGGGGACCAATCGGCGAGATCCAGGTGGTCAGCATTCCACTAATCACAGCGGACAAATTCGCTGGAAAAAAAAGTTCACGCGATTCGTTCTTCAATCAAATAAAGAAGTCTTTGAGAAACCATTGAGAAGTAGAAGAAGTATCAGGCGATGAAGATTTGGTGATCTTTATTCAATCTCAATCAAATGACTTGATACGTACCGATAATGGCGGCAACGACTTGACGCCATTTGTTGATATCTTCTATTTTCATATCTTGTGATTAATTACGATCTCTGTGACTGCCGATGCACCGCAATTTGAGATTCGAGGGCTAACAGACTGTCGCATGTCATGAAACAACAACTTGTAGCAACTGGACAGTCAAATTCAAGATCTCTCATTATCACTACTGGTTTGATAAGGTCACCTGATTATCTTGGAATGTTTTTCTCACGAGACTAAGGCCTTACACAGCAGTAGAGCTTCATTAGTAAGGGCTTCATAAATCTTAATCATCTAGATCTCATTGAAATTATCAAAACATAGATTAAACCGCTTGTGATTCTTGTAAGCATTCATCTACTTCTAATTCGTTGATAATAACAGAAATCTCTGACAATCAATCCGCATTTCTATTACGATTATTTAATCAATTGAATCACTGCCGTTTCGTTATCTTCGTCATAAAATCAATAAACAATCATTCATATTCTTGTTATCAATCTCACAAGTGGGATATATACGACGATACGTAGTGTATATTCAGTCATGAACTTGATGAATTGACCGAGAATTCCTAATCAAATCTGTCGCTGATGGACGGTAACTCAAATGTTTACGATTATCATCATTGATCGATTGTAAAGATAAATAGAACATCAATCGATCATCAGTTGGACAAGTGATTGATGGATTATTGATAATAAATCGGGCATTGCATCAGTCCTGTAATTGTTATTTTTCGTAATAAGCCGAGTCTTCCGGATCGGAATTTCACACATAATTTTCGTCTTTCATATGTCAGTGATCATTTTATTGTGTTCACCTGATTATGCCTTTTGGCAAATCAGCATAACGGGTTTATGCAACGCAAAAATCCTGAACATGAATTTATACGGTTAGAGATCATTGATCTGAAATCAAAGGGATGGGAAAATGATCTAGACGTTTATGATCAGCAGATATGCCTATCATTGATTTCCAGCGCAAATTGGCTCTCAACTTTTCATTACATACAAACGAAAATATTGAAGACATAACTATAAAACTCATCCTGATTTTCATTTGGGGATAAAACGATTGCCGAATGCCTGAGCAGTAACACTAAATAACGATCCTCTGAAATCGTTTTTGATCGCAATTCGAAAGTCGTAAAAGCATTCGAATTGCGAGTTGCCGAACGATGCGGGAAGAACAAGAACGAAGAGAGGAAGGAAGTTGAAGAGAGATCGAATTTGGTCGTTCACCAGGTCATTTTATAACCCCCTAGACCTCCTTTTACCAAGTATTCGATATCCACTTGAATGGCGAGATTTCTTCTCCACGGCGTAGGCGCCAAAAAAAAATTTCAAGGCGATACAGGCCGATATTTTTTCACATTTCGACGTAAGCGGTATTAATGGTCAGAACTGTCAGAAGGGTGGTAAACACTGAGAGACACTGAACACGACACAATGCGATTCCCGGCTAATCTAATCGTTATTTCATGTATAAGAAATAACATCCGCCCCCGTGGTGGACACATATTATCGTGTACCGGGTCTATCCACGGTCACAAATTCATTGTGACCGTTCTATAGGCATTTCTGGTGATAACTGCGAAACTTTATATGGAGATTGCCGGAATGTGTGTGTGAGGTTTATGGATACCTTTTATTTTACAACTGCGCGTAAGGGTAGATGATAAAGTATATGATCACACCGACGCTGTTAAATTCAGTTATTGGGGTTTTATTATTTTTTGCTTAATGGCAGGGTTATGCTGCGCCAGATGGAGGTGATGGTTTGCGAAAATATAGGAGAGATATGTTTGATTCAGTATGAAATTACTTGACTACTGATCAAACCAGACCTTGACGATTTAATTTGAAACGTCCTGAAAGCGGTAGGAAAAAATTACCAATCGACTAGTGGCATCTTTAACGGAGTAAATTTTATTGATCTACCATGTCGATGAATAATTATTTCCAATGCACAAGACCTTATTTGATTTTTCACATTGTCTTTTTCTGTGAAGATAAAATCTGCATTTTAATAAACATTAATTACCACAAATGAAATAATTACTTTGTGCTAACGACAGCGTAGAATCCGCAACAATTAATCCGGAACAATCACAGGTAAATGTTAATGTTGAACACTGGTGGATTTGACATGACCACTCGACATAACGGCCTGGTAAAAGCATGAAAGATATAAGGAGTCACCTCGTTTACCTACACCGTGAGGAGAGATGGAGGTGAGTAGATAAGCATGCGAGGGTAAGAACAAAGTGAGAGAGAGAGGAATGGGCTGTCGGTGAGGGCGGGTTGGGGGAGGATAAGAGGGTGAGGGCAATGCCAACACTGGGCGAAGTAACATCTGTATTAATGGCCGCTGTTTGTGCGGACGGTAGCGGCCACACGGGCGTCTCGTTGCCTCGATGTGGCCGTTGGCATGTATACCAGAGTACTTATGTCTCAGATATAGATATACCGATCTATACGGCAGCATGGAAATTCTCAGTTCATTGCGGGAGGCGAACCTGAGTAATGCTTTTCTCTCGCGCACCTTCATCCTTCTTTCACGATAAAAATATATGGCCTGATTATTATATGTGACATGTATATTGCATTTTTTGCCGCTATTTTATTTTACATATCGGATACATTGCATGTGTATTTTTTCAGAGAGATAAGAAACATTCAGTGACATTGAAATTAAAATAAATATTAAAATAATATGCATCATCTTAATTAATAAATTAATAGGGGGAGAAAAAGGAAATTAGAATATATATGTTTATTTACATTTCTTGGAAACATTTGATTTTTTTATTTATTTTATTTGGTTTCAGAGAACAGCGTAAATATATCGCGAATCTATACTAGATTTGAGAATGTTGAAATTTGTTACTGAGAAATTTCTTCCTCCGTAAATTTCACGGAACATCTGCCGATTCAATCTCCATTTCCACAAATTTCCCGCAACCAAATATTTCAACCAGAAAATTTTTTAATATTTCACGTTTTACGGGATTATTTATCGTCATTCGTAAATTTTCATTACCCGTGAAATGATACTTCGTTGGACTAACAGCTGTGCAGATCCCATACTGGTGTATATTTCCACACCCAGTAGGTTACCAACAGACAATCCCCAGTGGTGGTCTTTTTCACCCAGGGGGTTGGCAAGGAACACCAATATTTATGAGTTTTGAGAATATTTTCGACGCATGGAAAATGCCGGCAGTCATTCATCCACGGAGAGAGCTCTCCCTTTGAAATTTACCAGCCTTCCCCACCGGTATAACCGTATAAGAAAAATCACAGTCATCAGTATACACCGAGAATACTTTATCATCCATTGAATAAACCTCAGTGAATATTTTACAAAATAGTATTGGACAGGGGTGGAGCGATGCAAATCCAAATGCAAATTGAATGACATTTTCCCGGACGAGATAAAATCACACTTGGTACCTCCTAGGAGGTTGGGGCTACACCGTTGCTTTGTCAGCACTGAATCTATCGCATATATTAAGAAGGATTGAAGACAAGTATTAGTGGAGGGATTGAGAGATGGGGGTGTAGAGATTGGCGCGGCCAGGCGTGCCACACTCGTATAGATCGACTCGTGTAGCTTGAGTTACCGCTTCGTGAACGAGATAACTTCCTCCTCTCCTTCGTAAATCACTATCGCAAGTCGAAGATACGAGAGGGGGGTAAAGGGGACGCATTAATATTCACGTCAGTCCATTACAGTGCCTCCATGCATCCATCTGCCGGAAGAAAGTACTTGATTCAGCGGCTGATAACTTACGAAAGGTGACGCGTGCCAGAAGTTACCATCAACGAGCTACAGTAACAGTAAGAAAATGAAAAAAAAAAAAATACTTCAGAATACTTGAAGATAGTTGGAAATAATTAAACAAATTAATTGTCGGGGGTGATGGGGTGATCTCAGGGATGAATTGAACATTATGTAACAGGCAGCCAGAATCGCGCGCCAAAGAGATAAAGATACGGCGGTCGAGGAATCGCCCACGGGCGCGCATTGCTTTACGAGACGTAGGACGCCGATATTGCGTATAATAAATTTACGACCCCGAGGATCGGAGGCGGTACGGACCCTCTCCATCCTCCTTCCCATCCCTTCGAATGATATTCCCTCTCATTCTTGGATACACGGATTTGATTCTATCGTGCTAACACTCTCTTCGTTCCACTCGCCTCTGTCCCGACTGAGGATATAACGTCGGTCTCGCGGCATCGCTTTGCGCTTTACGACGCAGATATGCACACGGATTTATGGGCCGGTTCGTAACGCCAGCCAAATTACTAGGCGAACGTTCTTTACGATCGTTAATCTCCTCCCGCGCGTGATACTTCTACTCTTTCTCTCCTCACTCCCACCTATTTCACTGAGCCTAGTATCCCCCTGACTCCCAGAGATGTGCCACCCTTGCCGACATCATTGATGATGTGCATTTCACCAGTTTACGATGTTAAACATGGCATGCCACATTTTTAGACGGAATTACCGATTTTTTTTATTGTCCTCACAAATTTTTCATCGGATTGACCTGAAAAAATACAGGGATTTTGCATTTCATCACTTTGCAATTGTTACAGAATCCATTTTTTTTATATTCTGAAAATATGATATAATGAGAGTATATTATATGGCATAGTCAAGGCTTAGAAGTCAAGAGTATTCAAGCTTCAATTGCAACTGTT